TGCTCCTGATACGAGAGATTAAATTTAATTTATTTATTGCAGGGTGGCATCTCTTTTGAGATGTTTTTCAGTAAAACAAGAGGATGACTCCATTTAGTTCCTGCTCCCAGCCTTTGCAGAAAAATCTTGTATCTAGCCCATGCAGCAATTGCACCACCTGATGGAGCTACTAGTGGAAACCCAATTGTTCTGCAGATTTTTCCCAACAGCAGGTCAGAATTTACCTCCAATTACTAGCCTGGCTACACATGGCTTCAGAATACTTTCAAGCTAAACTCAATTTAAGAATAGAAGTGTAAGTACAGAATAGCATGTACTAGGTATTGCTTATTTTCTTGATGTCCCGCTACTCATTACAGTTGGTAAGCAATTGGGGGAGGGGGGAGGATGAAAATTCCTTTTTTCTGACAAAGGCAAAGAACTTAATCCAAAAAGTGGCAGTACCACAGCCAGCATTAGCCAGCGCATGACAGGACAGCCAAATTTGCAAGATTTAATAAAAAGAAAATTTATTTACATTAGAAATTTTAGTTATTTTGCTTAAGTCATTTAGTAGTCATCCATAACTTGCTGTTTTCAGTGGCCATTCAGAATCACCCACTGTCAAACACCACTGCTGCCAAAGACTGGGAACAAGAGTCCGATTCTTTCCTTCTACCTAAATCTGTTTGCTCTGCAGGCAACCTGCAAGTGTCTTTCTGGATGAAAAGTAATTGAATATGACCTTGAGTACTATTTCATACTTTTAATATTGATTTGGAAAACGGTAAGAACTACCTGTGACTACTGTTGTAAAATTAATTTTCTTTGCTTCAGGATATTTTTTTTTTGCAGTGTAGGTGAATTATAGTAGCATTCAGGAACTGCATTCAATTTTATTTAAAATGTTCTTTCCATCAAATTCATGTACTAAGAGTTGACCTTGTTATTGTTTCTATTTTTCTCTATAGAGTGAAATGGCAGACCATTATAAATGTGTCAGAATTCTGAAATGAATGGATGGTGTTGGGGCCTCTGAGGACCAGCCTAACTTCACAAAAATTACTTTAAATCCTAACCTCAAGACCTAGGTTTGAAATGTGGTCAGAGCTGAAATTTTCACTACAAAAATGGTAAAAACTTTGGGATCAGGGATTTGGTCCCTGAAGCTGGAGAGAGTGGTAACACTGACTCATTTATTGATAGCCTACTCCTACATTTTCAATTATGCTTATGTTTTCTTTATATCATTCTTCCTCTTTCACATTTTGTGACTGGTTGAACTGACTGGAAACTGACAAACATCTGCTTTCCTACTAATGCAAATTCAAAATTCTCTGCCACTTTTAAAACCTTGCAATCAGTATAACACTCGGGTAGAAAGATCATATAAAGAAAAAAGAATCCATTGCTATTTTTTAGGACCTCTAAAAACAAGCAAACAAACAAAGTGTTTGGCTAATGAGGATCAAAAACACATATAGTAGGAAAGGAGGCAAGATACTGTGGATTACTTGTGAAAAAATTTCTCAACAGAAACCCCTAAGAACATGTTCAACAGTACTCATAATTTTTAGTTAAATAGAAAGAAGCCAATGAGACTTTCTAAGCTTGTTAAATGTCACTTCTTCTCCAGAAGATGGAGCATCATGCTAAAATATTACAAACCAAAAAGCATAAGTGAACTTCAGAAAAATGTAACATTATCCCATATAACTTTGCCTGCTTCACTTCTGCTGAAGTGAATATGGCCTATGGGGCAAGTACTGGGAGAAAAGAAGAGGGCCTGGCAGTGCTCGAACTGGTCCAAGCCTTGGTCACACCTTGTCTTTCCAGCCAACTTTTGGCACTGTGGAGTGCGCAGGGTGCTTCCTTCTTTTCTGATTCTTCATACAGCTCCCCCAACGAATGCTTCCTAGACATAGGGATATGGTAACTCTAGAAAGTAATGAAGAATCTCCAGTAAGAGCTCCAACTACTCCTATCACCTCTCTGGAGCTTCTATGGGCAGATTCAGAACCTAACGGTCTCATCAGGCTTCAAAATCCATTTGGAGCAGAGCTTCTGGTTTCCTTTCCTTTGAAAGGAATCTAATCTATACATGCAAACACTTCTTTAAGAACTGAACCAACATGAACCAAATTGAAATAATCAGGGCATTCCCTTCAAAACTGCACTACTGCTCTGAACTTGATGGCTAATGCAGATAGAAGTCAAAGTCTGAACTGAAGTAGGTACGCTGAGAAGACACAAATGCTTTTATGTCCCTCCAGAGGGCAGGGAAGAGGAAACGACTGTGTAACAGATTAAGATGAAAAGCCAATCCAGCTTCAACAGATATATGCTTATAAAACTTCTATTTGATTTTTTAAAAATCTTTAAAACAGCCACTCAAATAATGTAATTCAATGTAATATAGTGAATTACACAGGTTTACCATGCATTGGGCGCAACACAAATGTAATATAGCATATGAGGTTGCTAGTCTGTAAGCTTGTATACATAAAAAGAAATAAGTTCTGAAAGCAGCAACTTGAATATTCTTGCCTGTTCTATTCAAATTTGTAAATCAAAATAGCAAGTAAAAGAGTATTGTTGTTCAATCCAGGAGAAAAAAAATACAGCATAAACTGTGCCTTGCAAAGTAAATTTTAGCAAGACAAAGTTTATTTTGCAAGGCTAGTAGTAATATTGAAAACTGGCAGGTGTTCAAAGCATAGCCTGTTTCTTAGAGACTGATGCCCTAGTCAGTCTACTGTATACCTAAATTGAACAAGTCCAAATACTGGCTCATCAGCTTAGCAAGCAGAGTTACTCTTCTGCTGCTTACAAATCCTTTCTAAAGACATTTTCTTCTTAGGTAGAGCTAAAACACCTCTATATGTTCTATTCCAGTGTTCATTCCCTGTTTGCTAAAAATGCCAACTTCTCAGCTTCCCTTCCTAGAGAAAAGCTGTAAATCACATTAAGAATTCTTAGGCTGAATTGGTTTATGTTTCACTGATACGACTTTTTTTCCTTTTATTTGTAGGTTCCAGTAATATTAATCACATAGCAATATAGCTTCTGAGCAACTTTTCTATAGACAGATTTGCTTCTACAAAAGTTATATGCTGAAAACAAATCAAGCAGACTCAGATGGCCTTGGTGATCCCAGAAGCACACTTTGGTGTGTGACCCTGATAAGGCTCAAGACCATATGTAACAATGTTGATGTTAATGGTTTGCTACCCAATCCTAGTAAGAAACAGTGATTGTGAGAAAAGAACAAGCCTAGTTAATGATTTTATTTGTCTTACGTTTAGCCTGAACATAAAAACTAGTGTCTATGTTCAAGCAACTTGATGAAGAAGGAAGGGATTACAGGAATAGAAAGAAACTGTGGGATGTGTACTTAATGTATTTTAAGCTAAAGTCCAGGCAGCCTGAAAACAACTTATTTTATTACCTGGAGTTATTAGACCATCCGAGATATATGTAGTTCCTAATCATTTGCTCATCCAGCCTACTGATAACCTATCTGTCTAAGGAATTTCTAAACCTCTACCATACGTAGCAGAGCAGAAACAATGCCCTTTTTTGTAGTTAGTTTTATTTTGTAGTTATTTTTTACACAGGAATAGCCAAGCTAAAGTCACATGGGTTTCTTTGCATGTGGGAGTAGTTTTGTTTAATAGTCACTGAGGAAAAATACATGACATTTTACGCTCTAAATACACTTCCCTGGGAAATGAAAATTGCCATGTAAAATTGTAGTCAAACCAGGACAGCAATGATGGAGCAACTAGAGAAACTGGAAACCTAATAAATCATTTTGATTAATAAAAATCATGCATGTTATAGACCATTCAGAGAAAAATAAAAATGAAACCCCAACCTCCTCTGTATTTCTAACTGTGAGTTTGTGACTAATCCCAGCACGACAAAAGATTATAACTTAACAGAGGTCATCCATCATTCTTCTGTGCTGCTACTTTCACCTCAGGATAAAACAAAAAAAAACCTCTGAACACAAAATATTAGTTTTGTAAGTGTCCAAACAGCCTTTCACTCCAGCTTTATTCATCAACACTACTCACAGCAGACTACATTTGAGAATCTCAAATAATTTTCTTTTCAAAAAAGCTTCACAAGCTGCTTGTGAGCTAACAGACCTATATTTATTATAGGAGGTTGTTCATGGGATAGGATTGGCTGATTTGCTGCACTAGAATAAAGAAATGCCCAACTTGAACTGAATAATAGCATATAACAATTGCATATCTTTATTTCCAAGGGGCAATAAACATTATTTTAGAAAGAAAGCATACAAAGTTTATGAAAAAATGTATTCTGACTTGTTGTACACAGCAAGAAAAGTGCCATTTTTCATATACACATCAGCCTTTTTGTAACACTCATTTCTAGGACAATTACTAAGGAAAGGAATTGTTCCTACCATTGGGCTTCGTCATAAGAAAATTATGTTCTCCTAATTCCTCTTCTAGTGTATCCTCCTCTAAGTATCTCAGAAAACTTCCTTCCAAGGCCTGGGTCCTTTCTCCCGGATTGACACAGCCGGGGCCCAAAGCGTGAAGTTTGGCCCTCGGCGCCGGTGAACGGCCAGTCCCTGTCCCCGCTCCCTCAGGGGCTGGCAGGGCGAGCCTCCACGACACCCGCGTTGCTGACCAGAGGTGACAGAAAACAGGCGCGAAGGGGACTCCATTTTGCTTCCAGCACGTGACAGGGTGGAGCAGGCGCTCACCTTTCCGGGATGAAGCCGCCTCACCACCAGCCCTGCCTTGGATGCATCGCCACTTCAGTAATTAATTCTCACGGTAATTCAGTAATTAAAGCTCACAGGGCCTCCCGGGGAAACGGGCAGAGTCGCCACACGTCCCGGTGGCGGGAAGGGACCAGGGCAGAGACCGGGCGGGGAGCCCCGCGCGTGCCCCCTCAGGCGGCGCGCGCCCCCTCAGGCGGCGCCCGGCCCTCGCGCTCCAACGGTCGCTCGAGGCCGGTTGGGCGCCTCAGCCGGAGCCGGCAGCATCCCTCCCGCGGGATAGGGAAGGCCCGGCACAGACCTCTCTGCCTTGGCCGCCTGTCCCCTCCTTAGCGCCGGCTGTCCCGTGGGCGGCCGAGGAGAAGCGCCGCATCTCCCGCCGGTGAGTGGTCGGTGCGGCCCGGCCCGGCCCGGCCCCAGTGGGCTTCCTCGGGCAGTGAAGGGCCGGGGAATAGCGGAGGAGAGCGAGTCCCTGGTTTCCCGTCACATCCACGGAGTCGGGCTGGTGTCCCCAGCGCCATGGGGCAGCGCTTGGAGCCGGCTGCTGGCTCGGCCCTTCCTCCCCAGCCCGCCTCTCTGCTGGGGCTGGGCCGGGCCTCCTGCCCCAGGCCTCCTGCCCCAGGCCTGCCACCCGTGTGCTCCATGAGCAAAGGTGAAGAGGAGAAGCATCTCCCACCTCGCCTGAGCCAAGGAGAGATTTCAGAAGCTGTAGGGTCCTGCCGAGACACTGGGGCAGGGGACTCTGGGGGCAGTGAGATGGGGAGCGCGAGCAGAGAGCACAGGCATGGTTTGCTGCATTATGGAGAGCCGTGACCCACGCTGTCAAAAAAGATTATGGCTTGAGATCTACTTTATACCAGTAAGCTCTTGTGAATACCCAGACTTTTTGTTGTAACTGACTTGTAACAAACTCCCGAAGTGGATGTGGTCACATTGGCATGAGGATGCGTAGCTATTTCTGTATGGAAGGTGAATAATGTACTAGTCTGTAAGTGTTATGTGTGATTTTCATAAAAAATGAAATACCTGTAACTGAAATAGCTAACTCTAAATGTGAATTTCAGACACAGGTTGAGAAGACAAGAGCCTCTGACCACTGGAAAACTGGTGAAATGGTGACAGCAGGGTGGTGAAAAAATTGTCAAAGTGTGCAACCCACTTATTTTGCTTTTCCTTGTCAGAAGTTATGGTATTTGCTTCAGAGACTGAACTGTCCAGATGATTTTAGTAAAATCTGGCTGACTACACAGCAGAAAGGAAATGAATGAAGGAGCGCGGGGAGAACGAGTCTAGGGAAGGTGGTTGGCTGCAATGCTGTGATATCAGTTGCAGTTGTAGAAAAAGTAATTAACATGATCAGTTTGGCTTGTCTGCACACCCATTCCCAAACCCTGATTTACTTTGCCTTGTTCACATTGAGCACATAATGGTTTCTTTGCAGGCCTGGTCTAAACATAGTATGAATACAGACTATATAGAATAGGACTTAAGCACGTAGAATAGAATCATAGAATAATTCAGATTGGAATAGCCTCGGGAGGTCACCTAGTCCAACAACCTCCTCATAACCCCTTGGCATGTCATTTGAAAGGTATTTGTTATATGCAGTCCTAATTACTTTGTTTTGATTGTGTTTGCTTAATAGTAATCAGTATCTTAATGTTCTATTTAGAAAAAGATAAGTAAGTTTTTCACATTTGGCATTGTGATGGTAGCTCAGTTACTTTTCTAAATGAGTAGAAATTCAAACTTTATTGGAGGCCAATGTCCTCAGCCTATTCATATTCAGTTCATTGGCATTTACATTGTTCAGGGGTAGGTAGATAGGACAGCCCTGTCTGTTACTTCAGTGACTGCATCTGCTGCTGGTGCTACTCCTTGAGTAATAATCAGTGGAGTGAAACAGAAATACCCTGTTCTGCTAAGTTGTGGTGCAAAACACCTCTTGTAGAGTCATAAAAAGACTTGCTAAGTTTACATAGCATCACAGTCAAGTAATGAGTCAGGGATACTGTTCTTTTTGGCAAGATACAGTCTTCAAGTTGCAGGCGCAAGATTCTTCCTTGACTACAAAGTATTACTTCATTAGAATGGCTAGAGAATAATTTCCTTTATGTCATTTTTCATTTCAATAAAAAGAGGGGTAGGAGGAGAGACATCAAATTTGTTGGTAGTAAGAAAGAGTGTTTCTAAAATGATGATGGTTCTGACATGCCTCTGAGGCTGTTTTCTCAGCTGATAAGGCTTAAAGGATCACTAATCCTGGGCAGAGTTTTTCTATGATATGCCAAAAAGCTCTTAGGTAAGCGAGAGATGAGATGCACTGGCACAGAATAGGGTAGCAAAAGCCTTAAGACATACCTCAGTGCTATTTCTGCAGAAAAAGCATTGCCATCTTTTATTTGCTTGTCTCAAGGTAGACAGCATGTTGTTGTCACTGAAAAAAAAAAAAAAAAAAAGAGGCTAAAATAAGCAATAAAGTTTAGTAGTGAGGAAATTAATAGCAGCAGCCTCATCTTATTTCTGTCCCCCTCTTCCCCGTGCTTTTGCCTAAGTTTTTGGTTTCTGGGGTTTTTTTCCACAAAATACTATGTCCCACCTCTATTTCAAGATCAAACTGCTGCAGCATATTTAAGGAGGAACATCACTGATTTGAATAATAGAACTACTCCCTCCACTGCTTTCACTTGTAATTATTTATATTGTAATATAGAAAGAAGTTTGAAAGGTTAATGGTGGGGTTTTGGGTTTTTTTTCCCCTCAGGGAGCACTGAGAGGAAGGGCTCAATAAGCAAAGAAAATACCCAGTGTAAATGTATTAAGATTTCCGATGAAATCAAGAAAAAAGAGTATTCGTACAAGGTCAAAAAAAGAAGAAAGTCTTTCAGGAAAGGTAACATGCAGTGACTTAAATGTTTGGATTGTTGTTATATATGTGTTTTTTAAATCAGATTGGATCACCGTGTTTGTAACTTGAGGTATATTTGTGTGGAGAACTGATGATTTAGATTAGTAATGTTGGTAACTGTCTTTCTAGAGAGAATACAAATGGGTGCTCGGAGGGGAGAAAATACTGAAGTTATTTTGAATGCATTCTCTACTTATACAAAATTTAAAATATTTCAATTGCTATATAAGACAAAATTTACATATAAATACATCCAATTCTTGTATGTTTTGGGTGAAATAACATTTGCTTTGTGAGTGGACCTTACTATAACTTTTTGAAGGTTTGTCAGACTGCAAGTGTTCTCCTGCATTTGATAATTTGCTTTAGACAATATGCACTTATGTTCCTTCCAGAAGGTACAAGCAGGAGGAATTACTCAGAGGGTTGATGATTTCCTTTTCCATTTGTGGAGAATATCTGAAAATACTCTAGTTCCTTTCCACTTTAGGGGAATATTTCTTTATCAGCTGAACGAACTTCACTTGTTCATGAGTGCTCTGTGCTTGAAAGCAGAGATCTTGTTTCTCAGCAATTTTTGATCATCAGTCCTGTAGAAAGTAAAATCCTAAATTTTGTACATAGAGAAATTATAAACATTTTTTAAAAGTTTAAAGCTGTACTAGTGCACTAATAGTGATTCATATAAACATACTAATTTTATCTCTTTAAGTTTTAGAAGGGAGTTAAGTCCAATGGAGAGTGCCAAGGTACAAAATTCTATGTTTTGTATCTGCCAGAAATGCCATATAAACAATAGAAAATTGCCCTACTCTTCTGAAACTTAGCTAAATTTTAAATTTAGCACAGTGTTCATGTAGTCTTTTCAGTGTTTTTAAATTTTTACATTTGAAACACAACTTTTCTTTATTTTAGATCAAACTTATGATTGATGAGCAGATGGATATTTTAAATGATGACATCTTTAATACAAAACTAGAAAGTTTAAGCAGAAGAGTTGAACAAGTACAATGCAAAAAAAACCATGAAGAAATAGCTAAAGCATTCCTAGTAAGTTTCTTTGAATGGCTGTGAATATTTTGCATGTGTATCACATATGACTATTAGAGAAAGACCCCAAAAGTATGCAATCTTTTCATCTTGTGTGACATAAAGATAAGTTAATGATAGTTCAATTTTTAGCCTTTGTTCATGTTCATTGCAATTGTTTCACTGTCTTATGATATGTCACTGACTTCACTTTGTATGATAATAGTACATAACTTCCTTATTTCAGGTGAACTCTGTTTCTTAACCTGTGTTTCTTTTCTGTTGCAGAAGAAAGTATCAAAACTTGAGAGACATATTAATGCTGCAATAGCCTTTCAGGAGAAAGTGGCTGCTCATCAGGTATGATGCCGATGCATACGCTAATATAGGCAGTAATGCCTAGTTGTAAACTAATAGGTGACTGTGGGTGTTTACCCTGAAACCTGGTAACTTTGCCAGCTACGTTGCTGTTGCTTACATTAAGAACAGAAAAAATTATGTAGAGCTCTTAAGTTGATTGATCTTTTGGTTTTTTCAGTTTTTGGTGTTTTCAGTTTTTGACTACAACATAGTTCTTTTCAGTCATCGTGATTAAGCAAACTCAAAATAAGGGTGTAGAAACTATATGTGTTGACGACTTGCTTTGATGCTGTCCTGTTGGAGAGCCACTGGAATTTTTCTAGTGAAGGGTTGGACCTCTTTATTCCAAAAGTTAAAGCTTCTTACAGCGTACTTGCCTCTTCGACTTACCTTTCATCAGCCATTTACCTTTAGTCCAGCAGCTGCATAGGGGCTATGGACTGCAAGTTGAAAACCACTTCCTTTTAGACAATGAAATTGAAAAGACTCTTTTTGTTCTTTCACATCTAAAAGTATAAAAGAATTGCATGTGACAAACATGCAGTCTTGTCTTTTTATTAAAGGCTTTACAAAATCAGCTTCATATCTTCTTGGCCTTTTCCCAAAAGCTTTCAACAAAGCATAAAACTGGATAAGGTCTAGTAAGATGCTTAAAAGCCTCAGTATTAAAGTAAGTGTTTGGGGTTTTTAAAAACAAGTTAAGCTCCAAGGAAAAAAAAAAAGTTATTTTGTATTACAGTGGATTTAATAAGATTTTATTTTGTTGTTGTGCTTAAGTACACCTTAATTATTTTCGCACTTCTTGAAAATATGACCACGTTTATGCTGTAGGTTTTATGACAATGCAGTATTTGTTTCCTCCTTTGTCAGACAATCCTTCCAAGTCCAGACTATGAAAAACCAGTACTAAACCAGCTTGGACCTTCTGCTTTCTGTCCTGAGGTCATAAATACACCAATAAATTCCTCAAGTGCACTTTCGCTGTCACCTAACACTGGTTTCACTTCAGCATATGTTTCAGAATATATAAGGTATGTATCTAGAGTTGAATAGTAAAATTCGAGATAGTAGTTAATGTTCTTATATTGGTTTAAAGCATTTTTAAGAAAATTAATTTACCATCTATGCTATAAAATTGACTTATGAGCATGTATGTGTTTCATTATGCCTGATGACATCTATTGATGGTTTTGAGTATTGATGATCCTGCATCTGAGATAACAAAATGTATGTAAATAGATCTCAAAATGTACCTCAGTTGTACAGTCTGAAATCACAAAATTGCCAGGTTTTAGGTAATGTGAGTAATTGATGGTTAGTTTAGGGAGCCTAGAAATGTAGTACAGTTTATGTGTCCACTTATTTTCCTAAAATGAACAGAGTAACTCTGTTGTTTTACTAAGACAGAAGCAAATAGTGTTTATTTCTATAAAAGACACCTAGAATATGAATGTTCCTGATGCACAGCATATTCCACTCTTAGTAAAATGTAGCAGTGCACAAGTTACTTTAATTATATCTTAATCAATAAGTTCAACTTTTAATGGTTGATATATTTGTGTGGCTTTAATGCTTTTTTTTTTTTTTGGGGGGGGGGGGGGAAGAATTCATTCTTGTATATCTCCAAACAAGTTTTATCTATTTTTTGCTTTATCAGTTCTGATGAAGTCATACTGGTCTCCGTGGAAAATAAAAATTCAGCAACTGAAAATAATTCAGGTATTGAAATTTAATGTTGAATCCATGCATGCTAATGAATTTACTACATTACATTACAAAGTACATCTAGAATATTGCCAGCTACTCGTGTTTTTTCTTTTTTAAAATGTCAAAATCCAATTGTGATTCTGAAATGCTTACAGATGTGCCAGGTTTTTGTGTGTATTTTTTAATTGATACATTAGCATGCTTTTGGTTTATCAAGATGGCAGCTCGTAGACTTGCATTATTTTTAAAATGTTTCAGTTAAAACAATTCAAAGTCCAGTATGAAGTGCAGTAATGAAAACTTTTAAACCTCCAACCCACTGTTCTACTATTACAACATTCTTTTCAGGAAATAGCATAGAAAGAGGAGGGGATGGATATAATTTTTTAGAAATCGAATTATTGTAACTTAATAGATATTTTAAAACAGCAGAAGCACTATATTTCTTTACCAAGCTTGACTCTGTCATATAAGTAATCTAGTGGCAAAGTGAGATTCTAAGCAGATCTTTCTTCATTCTGATCGCGGTTGCTGCTTAAAGGAAACAAGTATCACCCTTTAATCAAAAGTAGTACACAGTAGGCTCTTTGCCCTCTCTACCCATGTGTTTTGTTCATTGCAATTGGAATAATTTACCGGGGAAAAAATTTCTAGAGAAATGCTAGCCCACAAAATCTTGAATAGGGTCTCAGAATGCACACTTTCCCACACTGCTTCCTTACAGAGAGGTCTTTGATAGTTAGAACAGCTCTAAGACAATTCTGGGCAAGTTGAGTTGGCTTGCTAGATAGTTGCTTCTTCGACAGAGGCAATACTGAGCATTCTTGGTGAGTCTGTCATTCCCATAAGATTAATGTCCCGTGTGTTTTGGGAGGGGGGATTGATAATATTCTGCTGTTCTAACAAGGATTAAAACATATTATTGTCACAGTGTAAATTAAGACTTTTAGATAAAACACATTTACGCATTGTAAACTTCTGTGAAAATTGTGTTACAGCTATTCCAAATAACCAAATGTCTACTCAAGCAGAAATATCAGCAACAGTTCAGGTAAAAAGAAATAGACAGTATATTTTTCATGTTTTCTTCAAATAAAGCCAATCATTGACTACATAGACTGCTTCAATATCCTGGCTTTTGATTTACTGTTATAGGTGCTTAGATTTGGGTCAAACATATGAACACAGAATGTAGGTATATGGACTGTCATACCTCTTGCTTTTATTATTGTTCTATCACCTTCTTAAAGGTGAATTTATAGGAAAAAGAATGAAGTGAAAAGTGATGTTGACGTGCCATGCTGCTTTTCCTTTGGAACTGGAGACCTTGTCTCCTGGATGATTGTATTGCATGGAAGCTACAGAAACAGTTAAATTGCAGGGCACAGAAAGTTGAGCTGTTGGTCAGTCTTGAACTGTATTATTTTTTAAGCACTTATTCAGCTTTATTTATTCTTCTTTTTTGGTAGAAGGTGAATATTTAAAGAAAAATTAAGTCTGTCTCTCCCAGTATTGACAGCTCAGTCAAGCTTGCTTTTTGATCCCTTAAACAAAACTAAGCTAATGCTCTCCCATTTGAAAGGGGGGAAACACATTTGTGTTAGTACATGTTGAGAATGCTTTTTGAGGAGTTTTGATTCTGAGTACTCAGTTTCTGTAATTTTTTGATTGCTTGGGGAAAATAATCATAGATAATTGCAAAAATCCAAACCCTGAGGAGCATGTCTTTTACCATGGTAATCTATACATCCTCAGAAAATGTAGAGATTGTGTTGGGACTGGAGTGATTTTCATAACCTCTTTCTTCCCAGTGTGCTAAGCCAGTTCAGTTATATCAGTGACAGCAGCTCAGTCAATGGGAAAAAGTTAATGTTGGGATTTTTTCTATGGGTGCGGGGAGTAGATAAAATGTTGTTGGTGTAAACTTGTTATAAAACTGCTACAAAAACATTTAATTTCTGAATATATATTATGACTGGTTCTATAGCTTTGCATTTTTACATCAATTTTCTTTTGTTGTAAGAAACCTTAGTTAACAGATAGTGTTCCATTCTGCTAATTGTTAAGTAGTCTTGGAGATAACAGAGAAGCCTTCCAATGAAATTCTATGTTTTTAATCAGAGTGAAAAGAAGGAAAGAAAACGCAAAGTGATCAAACTAACAGAAGTAAACCACAACTGTAGCAAAGGTAAAAGAGAAAAATATTTTCATTTACTTTTCAGTATCTCCCTAAACTTAATGCCTAAGATGTAACTGTGTAACTTAATTTAGGTAACTAAGGATGAGAGAATTCTGTACAATCATTGAACTGTATCTATTTCTGTATTGGGTTTACCTGACAAGGTTTTGGTAGTGGGGGATGGCTTCCGTTAGAACAGATTTGGAGTTGGATCAGATGAGTCAGTTGCATCATGCTGGACAGAGCCATTTCTAGCCAGCTCCAAAACCAACCTTCCACTGGCCAAAGCTGAGCCAATCAGTAATTCTGGTGGTGCCTTTGCAATAAAATATTTAAGAAAAGGCAAAAAATGCTGCACAGCAGCTTTAAGAGGGAGAAGTGAGAAAAATGTGAGAGGAAAATCCCTGCAGACACCAAGGTCAGTGAGGAAGGAGAGGGAGGAGGTGCTCCAAGAGCCAGAGCAGAGATTCCCTGCAGCCTATAGAGGACCATGTCAGAGTCTAAGGAGGACCTCACCCTGGAGCTGGTGGATGTGCCCTGAAGGAAGCTGCACCCCATGGAGAGCCCACAGCTGGAGCAGGCTCCTGGCAGGAGCTGTGACCCTGGAGAGAAGCTCAGGCAGGAGCAGGTTTTGTGGCAGGACCTGTGGCCCAAGGGCAACACATGCTGGAACAATCTGTTCCTCATGGACTGTACATGGAGAGGATCCATGTTGGAGCAGTTTGTGAAGGGCTGTATCCCATGAGAGGGACCCCGTGCTGGAGCAGGGAAACAGCATGAGGAGGAAGGAGTAGCAAATATTATTTAAAAGGCAGTATTTAAAGAATTTTTCTTCTCACAAGGGATGTGTTTACTGGCTACAGATTCTGTCTATTGCTGTCACAACCCTTACTCCTCCAAGGAAAAGTTACCAATTTATACTTGGTCACTAAAACAAGCCATTACATGGAACAGTCTGGTTAACTGCCTGGTAATAAAGCTAGTCACACCATGTGCTTGTAAAGGACAGCACTGAGTACAAACACAGAAGACTCCTGTTCTTCATCCAGCTAAGTGGAGACTTGTTCTCAGAATGATAGGAACCACCCAGATGTGTCTTACTCATACTTAAAAGAGCCGTTGCTTTCTTAGTTCCTCAGAGGTTCATGTTGAGGTAAGACATAGCGTTCTAGAGGTTTGGGAGAATCAGATTATAGAACTTTATAGAAGTATTTTATAGAGGTATCAAGATTGGTATGAAAGAAACATGAATAGAAATTTGTGTGCGCAAAAGTACCAGAAGAAAGAGCAAGAGAGAGAAAGAAACAGAAGGGGTCAAAAGATAGCATGGGTTGTCAGCAGAACTTAGCATCTCCTGGCCCTCCACCTCTGTGTATGCATGATGTGTGCAATGCCATTCAGCGCCCAGAGAGCAGGAAGACAAAAACTGAAGCCGTAAAATAAAATGACAGGAAGACAACAAGTAGAGCCATAGGAAACCTAGACAAAGAAAAGGGGAGACAGTAAAACTGACTAAGCAGTTTTGTTGAAGACTCACAAAGAGTGAAATAAGATACAGAAACGAAAGATGACATTAACTTTTCATTTTTAAAAGGGTATAAAGGACCAGTTCACTGTTAGCAGCAAAAGGAGTCCGGGAGATACACTGAGGATATGATCGCTGGTGTTCCCTCATCTGTTGTTGCACACAAGTAATCCCAACTGGACTGTTTAGATTTGTATCTCAGTGAATGTGTTTATGTGAGTGCAAGTGGGCAGAGTCACCTTCTGCAGGAAGATAAATAAAATATTACCTTTGCCTTCTGTATGGTCTGGCATTGAGTTTTCTTATACTGACTGCTACAAAAGGGTAAAGTTAAATTTTACTCTATGAGAATGGAATGTTAAAATGTTACAAAACCATGTATTATTAGGTGGACTTGTTGGGACTAATGTAAAACCACAGTCTTTGTCAAGTATGTCAGACAAGTTTTGAATTTGATTTTTGCTTAATGAGTTTCACATAAATATCACTGTGTTCCTATTTGCCTTTGTTTTGTTTGTTTTTCCCTTGGACCTGGCTTAATCTCGAAATTCTGTCTATGAGCTTTCCTCCTCGAAGGTGATTATGCATTTTAATTTATGTCAGGGACAATTTAAAGAAACAAATCAGTAATGATGAAGTCATAATTATAAGAATTCCCTTGATATTTCATGTGTTCTTTACTACGTTTACAGAGTAGTTTTGCTGATCAATCTGAATTGGAAAACACTTGAAAAACAAATGCTAACCAGGGTGGGGGGATCCTGAGCCGTTTTAGGAGTAGTGGATGTGTGGGTGGTGATGTCTAGTTACACAGATTAAGAATGGCTTTAGGATGGAGAGGAAATATTTGCAATCTCTATAACTGCCCTTCTTTGCAAGCATGTTTGAAGAACTTCTCTTGTATATTCCTAGTCTGGACAAATAAAAGTTGTTTAAATACTCCTTAGCTCCTGTAATCTAAGTTGCATCTAAATGCAAGGGAAAATAAAAAATTTGGTATCTTCCTCTACACTTGTTTGCAGGTATTTAAGTAGATTCTTATTCTTGCTATGACTGTGTATCAGATAAATAGTTCTGGTGGAGTTAGGCCTAGTGTTTGGTGAGTTTGTGTTTGTGCTAACCTTAAAATTGAGTCCTGATTCTTTGTAATTACTACTGGTTTTTTCTTATTAGAATAATTGTTAAATCCAGGGATGTGAAAATTGATTTGAAGGAATGTCTTACGAAATCTGTTTGACGATTACTGTATTAATTGAAATATCATTTTTGTATACTGCCCCATCGTTACTGTGCTATTCAGTTGTTTTCCCAGTTTTGTAACAGGTGTATAGCTTTGAGAGAAATTTGAAAGCTCTTTGGTTAGTGGAAGAAATTTGTTGCTAACTCTGTGTGGGATGAATTATCCTTCTGGTATCTGTATGATCCTTCTAGTGTCTATGTGATTGCAAGATGAAAATCAGTGGTTACAAGGATTCAAGATGGACTCATTCTGTTCCATTTTCACTTAATGATAAACTAACTGGACTAAACTGAAGCAATCTTCCAGTTTCAATAAATTTTCACTTGGTGGATTGTTTTGTAAAGGAAGAGTCCTAGCCTGGAACTGACAAGTCTCGCAATAGGAAAAAAACCCACAGCGTATAGAGAAATATCATTCATATATGAAGTAAGGATTTTTAAAAAGCTATCTTTTGATAGGTAGAAAAATAATATTTAAAGCTTGAACCTTGTTTGCGGGCAGAACAGAAAAAGATCAGAAATACTTATCAAACAAACGGAATTCAAAGCCAGTGTGTCTCAACTAAGGGTTCCTGAAGCTGAGAGAAGAAACATCAGATAAGGCACTTTATTGTTCAACTTTTGTACGACATTAATTTTTAAATTGTGGCTTTTCATATTGCAGGATGGTTTAGAACTTGATGGAAAGCCAGGCTTTTTAACGACCTTTTCAAATGGGAAAGGCACAGTGTTTAAACAGTTGGGCTTTGAAGGAGCAGGCTTCTCTTTCACCACCAGGAGGCTCTATTGGAACAGTATTGGAGCAGTATAGCATTTTCTATAGAAGTACGCAAATAAATAATGCCAGGACACACCCTCTTTAGAAATAAACATATAAAAACCCTATCCCCAGAACTTATTCGCCCTCCTTTCCCCTTTATCTTCTTTTTCCTGTGTTTTTCCTTTCCCTCCCTCCCCCTCCAAATTTGTCGTGGCTAAAAGTGTGTGAAAACATTATTTGCTAACAGGATTTAGCTTTTATCCTATGAGCTTTTAGGTTCCTAAACATTTTTAATTCTTCAATACAGTTACTTTAAGCATAATTGTGATTTTTCAGCTGAAAATATTTTACTAAAACATAATTTAAAATTTCTAAATTAATATTAAAGAAACTGTCTCAAGAAAAACCTTCTTGATTTGTTGTTGATAATATATTAGGAAAGTCGAGTCTGTGAAGCAGTGCGCACATATTATATTCCTACCCTTTGTAGCAATGTGTGCATATTTGGTTTAAATGAAGTTTTCTGAACTTTAGCATTTATGACAGCAACACCACTGCCTTTTTTAGAAATTGAGTTTCAATTTTTTGTGGGCTTTTTTTAAAAGAAATAGAACACAAGCTGTCTTCTCCAAATAGCAGCAGTAAAATAGACCAAAATCTGCACCATGGTATTGTTTGTATATTATCAGAATTGTTTCCTATCTGTTGAAATTTATTATAGTAACTGAATTTCATGAAGGTACATGAAATTTTATAATCTGTGCAATGTACACCTGTTTTAAAACTAAGCAACTAGGTACAGGCACAGGTTTGTGGCTTTTTGGCTAAATTTATTAAGTGAGGGGGAAAAAAAACCAAACCCCCCCCCCCCCCCCATCTAGAAATTAAGCCAGCGCAGTAATAATCCAGCCTAAACAAATATCCCTCAAGATGCAATCTGCACCTCTTCAGGACTCCTTTGGACAGCACACAAGTTGTTCTAAGCTGTTAGTACTAGCGGGTAAGGAGTATTTTCTACTTTGGGGAAAATGTCACTGGACAGAGAGGAAATAGATGTCGGCAAGATACCAAATATTGATACATGAACATCAGTTACACTGTGACACTGCTGTTACTTTGGAAACTATAGAGACACTAGCAATTCAGAAATGTATATAATTACACGAAGCTAAGTTAGTTAGTATGAATGAAAAGTAGTGTAACTGGCTTATATGTTACTGTTGTTTAAGTAACAACTGTTTTTGTCTTGGTGCCTAGACTTTCAAGCAATTTCCACATCTTCCTGCACTGCCAAGGATCCCCCATTGTCCAGAGCTCACTGAAGAATTCAAAGACTCTCCTCAGAATCCTGAAACTTAAGTGGCTGGTGTGCAAAATCCGAACGGGATTGCGCTGTCATGGACCTTTCAGAAACTGATCCCAAGTATGTTTCCCTACACAGTTACCACTTGTATCTGTTTCATCAAAACCTTAGTAACAATTTTGCATCACATTGGAAGAAACCAGGCAAAATAAAGGCTTTGCCACTTTCAATAGCTCGCTGTGTATCCCAGGTTATTGCCCCAAAGAAGCACTACTGTGCCACTGAGTGAGAGGATATACATGGACGTTACAGACCATTTGGTAACATGCAATCTATCACTCATTAAAAAAACTCTTTAGGAGACCCATAGTACCTTAACAAGTGGTCTGCTATTGTTCTGCCCTGAGGTACTATATTGTTACTTGCGGTGAGTTCCAAATCAAAGCCTTATTTGTACAGCAGTCAGAATTCATTTCCTTATGTTTCCGACTTGCTACAGTCTGTTATGAACTTTATTCCGTTAATTCTGTAATCTTGTTTCTACAGCCTTGAAAATGAAGGCTTGTTTTTAAAACTAATTTACTTCCACATTTCACTCTTTCCTCTTATTACTTCAGAGAGTATTATGGCACATATGAAAGAAATGAGAAACTTAATAGAATTTCAGCTTCACTATTTTCTTTATTTCAGCAGCATTGATGAACCAGGATTTTAGGGATCTTAGCTCTCTTTAGTGTTTGGAAAGGTAGTGGCTCATCTTGCTCCTATTTTTAGAAATTACAGGAAAGATTCTTTTGTTTTGTCTGTTTAGCTAAGCTTCTACAATGCTGAAGATTAAGAAAGTACTACTGTAGTCCCTTTGTTATTTTGAAACAGTTAAAAAGCACATAAAACGAATTGTTGATGTACCTGGGGTAATTAAATAGTTAATGGCTAAGCAGCACAGTTCCCATCACCTACAATGCATTTTTTAAAAAAGTTATCTCATAGCAAAGTAGTGCAGAACTTCATTTTCTCTTGTCCTGGATGGAATAATTCAAAAAATACATATTTTTTAAAAAGAAAATGTGTGTTGACATAAATATTCTAGATTTGTTTTCCAAGGCTGTTTCCTATATTTCCTTTCAGATGGTTTCTTGCTGGGTAGAAAAGTAGAGTCACAGCTGCTGGTGAATGATTTAATAGTTTGGACTTTTCATTTTTCTTCACTATGATCAGAAGGCAGAAGTTTTATGGGGTTTGCGAAATTGTTTCTGGGAAGTTGGCATTTTTTTTGGATCGATCTATAAAAACCCATCTGTGTTGTTACCATCTCAGTGCAAACCTGAAGCTGGGACTGCAGCAGATAGAGAAGTCACTGGCCTGTCCCTAACATTTTTTACTCTCGTGGTCAAGGCGCTCGACCTGATCTTAAATACACAGCTCTTTCTGCAAATGGTGGAGAAAAACCCTGACAAGTAACTACTGATCAGAGCATCTGCGGATCTTGCATTACTCAGGAGCTTTTCTTTTGACACCAGACACTTAAATGTTCCATACACTAATATTTTCTCTGCTTACCCTGGAAGGTCTTTGACAACAAAGGACAAAAATAACCAGCTTGTGGTTCTAGTACAGGCAGGAAAAATTTAATTTTACCTGTTCACACAAATACTCAACTATTTCTCATCCAACATTGTGTAAATATATCCCAAGCTTAAAGACAACGCCAGATTGCTAAATGTATCGAGCTTGCTATTACAGTACAAGAATTTGTTTTAACTTTATTTTCATGTACAGTTTCAGAATATATAGAGCATAGAAAAAGGTATATTTTAAAGGCATATCAGGTAGAAAGAATATCCAAAATATATTTGTCCTGTTAAAACTCTATTTCAAACTGTTCTGGCATTTGTTTTCTTGGTATGCAGAACATTCCTATCTGTTCTATGTGGTCTCACGCGTACACTGCTGTTTGTACACCGTGGTGTGTGTGCGTTCCGCTTTTCACTCAAGGGACAGAGCTTTTACTGTGGAATTAAGCTGTGTGTTCATCTATATATACATCTTTATTTTAAATATTTGCTCTATAAATGACCCGAGCATTATCAAGACAAGAAAATGAAGAAGCATCTCTTCAAGTCAGTGGCATAACAGCTTAACTTACGATTTTACAGGACTGTCTTCTAGATGTAAGATAGTTTTAAATCCATATTTGCCTAAGAATTTCCCTTAATATTTCATTTTTGAATAAAACTAGCAAAATGCCAAGCTAATAGTCTAGCTACTTTCAACCTTAAACCCACATCTGCTTCTTTAAGACCAATTCTGCTTGCTAGCAAAATTCAGGTTTTGAATCTGAAATGTATTCAGCAAACTGTAGAAACACTTTTTTAAAAAGTAGGGTAATAATTCCTGAAATTCAGAGCATTCCCACTGAACTGTAGAAACACTTTTTTAAAAAGTAGGGCAATAATTCCTGAAATTCAGAGCAAAAAAATTCAGAGAAAAAAAAAATGACAAAATGCTAGCATCATGCTAGACTGGTGAGAATGCATTTTGCTCAGATCAATTTGGGTTTCTTACTATTATTATTACTTTTAATGTGTTGGCCTTGCTTTGCTCCCAAAAGACAAGTAGTAGGTCCCAAAGCAGTTCCAGGAATGGAGATGGAACTACACGACCCATTACTCATGTTGGAGACCGTTCCTATACAGTTACGCACCTGGACTTGTACCTCGTGACTAATGGAGGATGAATTCTCTGAAGGAACGGGTCAGCCCCTCAGCTGATGGATAATGCAGGAAGTATCGACTTTGGGAGAGCTACACTACTTTGTAATCATGAATTTGTTCTACGTTAAGCGCAAAAACTCATTCAAACCCTAATTACTTTTTTTATTGTTGGTGTATTGGGCCAGCTGTAGTGAATATATTGAAATAAATATGTGGTTAGTGCTTTTACAAAGTCGAATCTATATTTAAGCATCAAAGCTGTGACTAAACATAAAAAGCCACTTCATTCATTCTCCACGCTGATCTCCCAGCTCCAAAATCACTGTCAGCCAAAGCCAGTATTACACTGCTGAGCAGTCGAGCCTGGTGTTACACTACAGATTTCTCTCACAAAATTATTGAAAAATAAAAATCACCAAGTCATTTTATCTTGAAAAACTATCCTGGAATTCATAAGCATCGTAATTGCACTCTGATTTATTTAGTAGGAGTGTTTAGTTCAAGTAAAATCCACACAGGAATTTAGAATGAATTTTTTAAAGGCCAATTTCCTAATGGACAGACTCAGGGAATGCTTTTGTAAATGATATATTAGCCATGAAACCACTAGATAATACAAGCCCAGTGTAATAAACCTGTTGAGTTTGGCTGTAAAAACCTAAATTTGACATTGCTTGATCACTAATTTGCTTAAAAATTTGCAGATGTAGGGAAGGCAATGCTTTAATTTTTTTCAGCCTTTTCTTCCTTCCAGAAAGACTATGCACGATGTGAAACTCTGTTTCTGATGGGTATTTCTGATGGGTATTTCTGATGGGTACTCCCGCTGGGGTATTTCTGACTGCCCAGACTGCTCCAGTCCCAAGTGGAGCAGTGAATTTGCTGTTAAGTTCTCCCGCCAAAGGCTCTGTGTGCTTAAATTAAATGGGAAAGAGAATCAAGAGAATCATTCGCTGGAGTACAAAAAGGAGTTGTTTACTTTTGCAAAGCAAGTGGTTTTAATAAAAGCTTGCTGACACTTACTGCACATTATAAATAGCAGAACACTCGTCCTCTGCCAGAAGAGACGCACCGAGTGCAGCTTTGGGCTTTTATAATTGTTTGCTTTTCACTGTGATCTGGGCCTCATTTTTTACTCCCCCTACATTTAACCCATTCCAAAGGGATACATCTGGTCCAGGAATGCATTAGCATATTGCTTACAAATTAATTTGCACGGGCTTTGTTTGTAATCTGCTAGAGGCCAGGAACAAACTGCCAGTGGCCAGTAAAGGGAAAACCATTTATGACGATGAAACATGTAAAAAAAAGAGCGTGGCTCTGTCCTGCTCAGCCCCTGACCTGTAGGTGCCAGGCAGCCCAGTGAACCTGCCGGGGTTTTTATTCTGTTTTGTATCAAGAACACAGTACATTTTTAGAGAAACAATACCTTTACTACAAAACCATGTAAATGATTATATACAAAATGGTTACTGGAGTTTGGTTTTGTACTGTAGTGACAGACATAACTAGCTGCTGACATTTATTTACGCTTCCTTAATACTAGGTACATCACGCCGCTGATGAGGGTGAAGGCAAAGGCAATCCAGGCTAAGACGAAGGAGTAGCCGTATTGGCCTTGAGTAACTTCAATCCTATATTCATTGCTCTTGTGTAGTTCTTCGTGCCTATCTGTATAAATGGAAGCTGCAATCATAACGCACAGACCTGCAGGAGGAAGAAAACAGTAAATTTTAGCATCTTAAAATACTATCAATGTGCGTAACAACTACTCGCTGTCTCCCTTCTGTCAGCTTCTTCCACCGAGGTCCATTTGTTGCAGACACTCGTTTTCCATCCTCAAACTAAAGTCGGAGCATTTCAGGACACGTTTTCAGTTTCTTTGGCACGGATTACATTTCAAATGCTGTCGTGTATTTATGGCATTTGCAATGAACAAAAAATGATTCTAAACATCTGGATAGTTTTAAAGAATAATAAAAAATTAAGGAAGTACCTGCCTGTAACAATCACAGAGTTATTTAATTTGATCAAGCAGTTCAGACTCTCGGATTCTTTCCCTTCAAAGTTCAAATGACTTTATTCCGAGCAGTGATATCGTCCACATTTTAACTGCTTAAATAGTACAGAAGGGAGCAGTTCACTGTTTAACCAAATGTGAAGGATAAGCTATGACCTCAAATGCCCCACAAATTTCTCATGCAGCTCATTCTTTTTGAAACTTTTTTCCCCTTCCCTTTCCTACTTTCATGTAAACATTATTAAAGCCACAAGTGTTGAAAAATCACTCACATGACAGGAGCTGGATAATAGAGGTTAGCACAAATCTTTCTCCTTGCTTTAGGCGGAAGAGCTGGAGAATGAAAACCAGAAATGCCACACAACAGAAAATAGTAGATAGGGTCATGGCAGCCTGAACAGCCTGAATTGATTGATACTCTGCAAAAACAAAAGCAGCCTTGATTAGAAATACAGTTTCTCTCTTTGCCTACTTCTGCTGCGAGCAGGGGGGCAGGGCCGTGTCCCGTAAGCAGGAGCTCAGCTGAAGGAGCAGAGCAGTTGAGCAGCCATTCTCCTCTGCAGCCTCCCTAGCAATACAGCCAGGGGCTTATGGACTTTTAAAAGCCTTTCGCAAAACTAAATAAAAATGCTGAGGAGACTGTTTCTCCCAGACCACGTCCCTTGCTACCATCTACACACCAAAACCACAGTGAAACTGCCAGGTGTCCCAAAGGGCTTACAAACGCTGACCTGAGCCTCCCACCAGAGCTGGAGACCCCTACCCGACAGGATGTGAGCAGAGGGGATATCAACGTTGGCACAGAAGATTCCTTGGACTGAGGTTTGTCATCCTGTCAGTTCCTGTGCTGTAACTAGGAGCTGAAGTACCCAACAGAGGTGTAACTACACGTAGCTGCTTTGTGTAAGTGCTGCATTGGCACAGCCAAGCTGCACAGCCAGCTCCTCGCAGCACCTCTCCTCTGGCACAGCTGCACTGGGGTCAGCAGGGCCCTGAGCAGCAGGCATACCCCAGCTACTCACAACCTACCTAGTTCGGGGCCCTGACTTCAGTAACTGCACAGTAATACAGACATCAAATGTTAAATCATCATCTGTTAAATTCTTGTCACCTTAGACAGGCCTGTGCCACACGATTCTCTCAGGGCAGCACAGACACGCTCCAAACCAACCTGACGCTTGGAAAGCAAAGGTACTTCATGGGCACACGGCTCTTCAAATCATCTACCTCTTTGATATACACAAAGATTGAAAGTGTGTAAATAAAATAAATGTAACATTTGATAATTTCATTATTTGTAAAGTAGGACATTAGGCTGTGCTGTAGATTAAGTCCTCTTTGTTAAAACTTCAGCTTGTGGTCCGACTTTCTTCCGCTTTTCCCCCATTTCTCTGCACAGCCAGTATTTTTAGGTTCTTTGAAAGTTCAAGTTCAATTCTGAAGCAAATTCTATCACATCAGCTCCACTTTCAGATGACTCCACTGTTTTTACCTGACCTATTTTTTTAAGAAATCTCTAGCACTCATTGTTAGTTATTTGTTTATTCAACACAAACACTCGGGCTTTCAGGTGCACCTGACAGTTCTCCATTTTCCTCTTACAGAAACCGTTGGAACAGTTTGCCTTTCCAAAATGAAAAGCCCGTATTAAGGTTTTGGGAAAACCTCAGTAGTTAGAGCACACAGATTTTTGAACAAATATATTATTGCCCCTGCAAATTTTGTAGCGATTTCACTAGATCTCCTGCTAAAGGAACTGAGACAAAGGCAGGGAGAGACATTCACCTTGGAATTGATCCGTAATGGCCATACAGGTGCTAGTGTTGGTGGCACACACTCTCCAGACATCTGTAGAAAAATTATCTCCTACCCACCAGGCCTGCAAAATAAAAATAAAGGGCTCTTATAGGGAAAATAAACACCACAAAACCACAAAACTCCTGACTTCTCCAAGTGTCTCCTGATCTGATACTTCAGCTGGAACAAATTTCTGTTCATTTTTGATACTTAACTATTCAAACTAAATTTGAGATCTAATGGCATTTTAGAAGAAAGGGTGTATCATTATTCCTTATGTCATTTTCATTTTAGACCTGTGTAAAGCAGAAAAGGCAATCTCAAACATCCCAAAGCACAAGGGATTTTCCACTGTGTGGGCAGAAATTTCGGATAGTCAGTGATTGCTCACTCCTTAAGATATCTAGACAAGATCTGCTTTGTTCTTCCTGACCCTGTTTAGGACACACAACTCTGAAGGCACAGCATTTTTTAATTTGCAGGAAATAGCAGGGGATACATCCCTGAAACCGAAGCCATTTAAGTTTTCTGGTTCCTGACACTGAATTGAATCAATCTCAATGTAATTGTGCTGTCAGTGTGCAAATGCAGTATGCACACCATGGCATCTGGCTGGAAGAGGAATTAAGATCCTCCTGTGGTGTTTCTTTTTGGATGTTTTAACGTTTATTGCAAACCAGTACCACAGAGTCTGCACAGACTGTTACAGTAGCCTGGGAAATGCTGCAAGCACTCCACACAAGTGGCATTTCCTCAGGAAACCCATTCCCGTTCCGATAGCTACCCAGGCCTTTGTTTTGACTAACGCTGGAAAAATATGACTTTTAAATATGACTCCTGGTAGCATCTGCTTCTTAAACAGACATTCCAGAAGCCTCACAGCTCACTGTGCAGCTCTGCAAACAATACTGCAATAAAAACTATGCCGTATTATGACAGCAGGCACATGTGTAAAAGTAACTGTGTTTTAAGAAAAAGCATTACTTGCTCAGGATGCCATTCATTTGGATTTTGCTGTCCAAGTTCAATATATTACTTTTCAGCTCTGAGCACTATAAAAACCTTTCAGAGTTATTTTCATGACTATAAAATGCCCCTGAAGATGTTAAAATCTAATAGAAGGTGGTTATACAGTTTAAATTCATAATTGTTTAAAAGTTGCTAATGACACAAAGCAGAGTACAGGGGGCTTTATTTCTATAGTAATTTGGTTTGTATGTAGCAGCTCGGAACTAAGAATAAGTGGCATTGTCCACTGTCCCAGCTTTCTAAATATTCAAAGGAGCAGGGTAAGACAACCTGCTTTAGTGCTCAATTAACGACCTGCTTCAGTGGAATAAATCAACCAGCCAGCCGAGAGATAACATCTGAGTTTGTACAGTTTTGCAATAACTTTGTGGGTAACACATCATTTCACTTGGAGCACAGTCTTGGAAACCAGACTATGGGATTCAAACCAGCTTCACTGAGTATGGTAAAGTATTTTCAGCAGACAATTTTTTTAATCCTAAAAGCCTACATACACCATACCTCTTAGGGAAAGAAAGATACAGTTAAAAGTACCAATCAGGTTAGCAGGCTGTTTTGGAAAGAGGAAAATTCAATTAAGAGCTCGATGTAAATAATGAAAGGCAAATTCTTTCTAGTCACAAAAATAAAAAGGAAATTTGAAAAGGATGCAACATTCATTACTCTAAAACTTTGTGCTGAAACTGCTTCAACTGAATGGAAACAGATAAATTCATGGTGTCTCTTTAATGATTTAATTGGGAATCTTGGACAACCACTTCTGAGGCAAAGCACACCTTGACTGAAATTATCCCCGTGCGTTAATGATGAGCTATTTGACTTCATGGACTTGACACAGAAGGAGGACAGATTTTTCCCCCGGCCCTTTCCCTCATATCTGGCTGAACCCAGCCTACAGCCCCACCCTGCAAAGCGTGGTCGTAGTTGTAAATATACTCCCTGGCCAAGTTTCTCACAGGGGGGAAGATGAGCTGCGTAACACGGGCTTAGAACATGTGTGGCAAGTTCCTGTGTCGTCTTACCCACAGATACCAGCAACATGCCTCCTCAAGGCATTTTTGTTACAAAAAGGTACAAAAGGAGACTAGTGTGCCTAACAAAGTTACCTGCTTTCAATAAGCAAGTTGTCTTCAACTAGAGAAGAACAACTTCATTTTTATGAAGCAAAGAAACACCTGCATGTTTGAGAGAACAAGAGCATAAAGGAGACTTACATTGTCAATAGTTGAGATGAACAGCAGCGCTGCTGAGGTTATGTGGAACACAATAATGAAAGCCAGAAGAATCAACATTCTTGATCTGTAGGGGCTCTAGTCGGAGATAAATCTGTTAAAAATAAGATCACATATGAACAGTCTTTAAAAGCTGTCAATGGATCAACCTGTCATTACACTACTTCGCTGTGGCTGTGAGCGGTGAAGGTCAGCGTGGGTGTGTTTCGGAGCGGGTGCTGCCGGAGCCGGGAACGTTGTACACAGTTTGTGTCCACAGCACACATTCTTTCTCCAGAGATAAAAGATTTCACTTAATCAGTGTTTACATCAGCATAACAGCTTTCTGGTTGTTATATCTGATACATAACTAGTATCACCGGTGTTAAAATGAATCACAACTTGAAATGAAGCCAAGAGGCGCGTTTTGCCACCTGCCAGCGGGATGGCCCTAGTGGGTAAACACCCAGAGAAGCTTCTTTCTGTGAGCTTCTCCAGCAAGGATATGAATCTCTGTCATGGTGACTTTTAGAGAAGTACTTTTCAAATTACAGCCTCATTTGCATGTGATGCTAGATTTTCCACTGGCTATAGGAAGGTCTTGTGTCAACCATGCTTTCAAAGTTAGACGAAACACAGATTTCAAAAGGATACTTATAGAACAAAACTAAGTGCATCAAGAACTACCTCCTAGATTTAGTAACAGCTGTGTTTTACCTTCAGTCTCATATAGGTTGTCCTTTTTTCATTTAGTTACAAGTTTTACCCATTGATGAGTGACCTAGGGCTACCATTTTCTTCACCATATTGCTCTGACTGGTAGAGTTCATTAAACCCATTACTCATGGAATAATACAGTTACCTATTTTATGTTCAGTCATTTAACATTCTCTCTACCTATTATCTTCATACCTTATCTAACCCATTTATTACTATTCCATATTTCAAATGAAAAAGAAAATAAAAATCTTATGTACAAAGGAACCACAAACTTCGTTTGTACTGAAATCCTCAGGAAATCAGTGGGCACGATAACAAACAGATTAGGGAAAACTACTGTTACTATCACATAGAAATGCACAATTGTCTGGTATTATCTTTTTCTTCTTGTTCTATTAAAATTAATACACTAATTAATAGCTAATTAATACGCTATATTCTATAAGGAATCTGCATTCTTGCAGATATTTTCTCTGCATTTAAAGTGCCCGATTCTGCAAGCATTATCTGCGTGTTATCACTCATCAGTCCATTAACACATATTTCTCCACTTCCTCTGCATTGGACACATTCTCTCCTGTCAAATGATCCTGTTCACATAACACAGCAACTATCCAGAAGAAAAGGCAGTTATGAGGTTTTTTAAGACTTCCATGATTTTTTTCATGTCTAACCCTCTCTCCCCTACTTCCATTTACTAGAATCATGAGCCACATGGAGAATTTAATCAAATAAAAGGACTACTTGGACAGCATTTTTAAAGCACTTCCACTTCTCATTAGGCCAAAATACAACTACTCTGCAAAACTTTAACAAAAAGATAACAGCACAGAAACACGCTGAGTAGAGACTAGAAGTTCCCGACTAATCCTTTAAATCTACATTGCAGTCCAGCGTTTCGCTGCAGTACGGCGTCAGAACAAGCACACAACAAAACAGTATTAAAGTGCTTTTGAGAAAATGAAAATTGATAGGCTAAGGTTATATCCGTATCTAATTGGGATGGCTGTATGGGAAAGCTAAGTCAAATCCTAAAGTAAGGAAAGCAGCTACTGAAGTTTTTATTCCTTCCCATTTTCTCAGTGTTAAACTTTGCCTTCTCGGCCACAACAAAGAACAGAAGTGGTAATTTCCTCCAAAGAGTCGATTCTGCTGTATGACTCAAGATCCTCTGAATCTAGTTCTGCTTCTAGAAATGTCATTCATGGCTCTCTATCAAGCCTTTCTTGAATGAAAGGAAGGAAGGAAGAAGGAAAAGACGATATTTTGTGGTTTTGTACAATGCCACATCAAAATATTTTCATTGTGAAATGTACCAGTCTTCACACAGCACTCTCTTGGCCTGTGGTTGGGTTTTTTTCTGAGTTTTATTTCTCGCACAGATGGTATCTACACAGACAATAACTCAACAGTCGTCTGCCATATAAGGAGAGAGAATCAAATTGTACTCGGTATTATTTTAAGAATAACAATAGAATTTCATCTTATTACATGAAGCATCATAAAGTAAGAGAGACAGAAAAATGTAAGCTAATTAAAACCAATCTTGCAAAATCAAGACTTGCCAGCACAGAAAAATCCACTTAATCTTCAATCAAGGGAATGTTTTTGTTTGCCTGCTTTCAGCCATAAACAGAAGTGTTTCAAACAGGGTGGACAAACATGTATGGGTGATGAGGAGAAGGCATTTTATGTTTTACCCAAATAAAGACAAGACTGAATGAAAGAGCTTTTTGTTTTGTCTCTACAAAAAAATAAAGGACAGTAAGAATGGTTTGATGTTTCTCTTCTGAAGAACCTTCATAACAGCCATTTTCAGACACTTCCTCCTGATTTGCTGGTAATGGCTCCTTTCATGAGCTGTTACATCTTCTGTGCTCTCAGTGCTACAATAACTGTACACAGATATGGAAAATAAATGTGCTGGGGGAGAGGAAGAAACAGACCAATTCCAAGTAATTAATGCCAGGAAAAGACAACAACTTGTTACCCAATCTGTGATGCCTGAGCGGGGATCCCAGAAGTGCACAGAAAGATTTGTGGACTTCAATCACTCCTGGCAACTTTCTCTTCCCATGGAGACCAAAAAGGAATGTCTCTGGTTCGTCACAGCCTGTGCAAGGAGTCAGGAGGGGAGGAGGGTCTTTCAGCTAAACTCTGTGTAATCTGGGTGCAGGAAGCAAGGAGAAGCTCCCTTCTTCTAAGATGCAGCCAGCAACAACACAGAAGCTCCTATAGAATCTCAAGGCAGAAATTCTGCACTTCATCTCTCAGGGTGGACTATTAGCAACCAGTCCTCCTCCACGCCAGACATTGCTGGAATTTAAAAGTTTGTTTTGGAGACTCAACATCCTTCTGCTCCCTCAGGAAGAAGATCTTCCATCCCCAGTTGTCTGAGGGCAGCCTACTCTGGTAGGCTAGCATCCTCTCCGAACAGCAGGCAGCTCCTTTCCTCTCTCCATGAGCAATTTGGGTTAGAATAAAATCCTGTCATCTCTTGCATTTAATTTATGCAGCCACAAGAAAATATTGCTTAAAAGGGTTGTTAATAAGAACAGAAGCATTTTAAAATCACATAGATTTGGAAATCTAGTACTTTGTACCATTGCAATGAAAAAGAATCTCCAAACTACATTAAGAAGATGCATAGAAATTATCAGATTCTTTTCTTTTAGTCTGTTGGTTATAAATAACAATATTTGTATTGAAAAAAAACTTCCTAGTCAGAGTAATTTTTTACTTTCTATCATGGGAAGTGATACACACTATGCTCTCAAGTCAAGGTGTTTAAGATTTTTTTAAGTACTCTGCCTTTAGGCATGGATGAAGACTGGGATGATGCAACACATACTGTTCATCATTCCCCAAGGTGGTTTGAATTCTTTTAATAGTTTTTACACACACACACACAAAAAAAAAAAAAAAGCTTTTTGGACACACTATAGTTGTATTTTAATAGAGATGATGGAGCCACTATTCTCAGAAGCACATGATGAAAAAATGAGAGGCAACAGTCACAAGTTGCAACAAGGAATATTCCAATTGTGAAAAGTGTATTAATTATATACAATGAGCATGATTAAGTACTGGAACTAGGCCCAAGAGACTGTGGGATCACCATTCTTGGACATCTTCATAACTTGACTGAAGCAAGGCCCAGAGCATCCTGAACTAACTCCCTGGCTGGAGCAGGAGTCCGGGCTGGAGACCTCCAGAGGCCCCTTCCAGCTCTGCTCCGCCGTCCATCTGTAGCTATTTCAGGAACGTCCCTCTACTAATCTCTGGCAAAGCTCTGACAAAAGAGAATGCAAAATTTTACTTAGCTCATCACATGTGAGATTAAAACCAGATTTTGGGTTATAATTGGAATGACACTGGATGTCAACATGAATTCTTCAGTTGCAAGCCTCAGCCTTTAATACCACTTTACAACGTCTGTTGTGGGGCAGAAGTGCACAGGTACAGCTGAGTTAGAAGTGCAGGCTGCCACTCGATCCAGAAAGAATGAGTTACGAGAGTCCTACTGAACACATCCAGATTTCCTGTAGTAATAAGGTTTCCCACAAATGCTGTGAAGTTGTAGGGTGGTTACACAAAACACACTGAAAACAAAAAGCCAGCTATATTAACAACAAAGATTTTTCCAATTAGTGCAGAAGAACTGTTTCTGCGTAATGCTCCAGTGCTACCCTATTTTTGGAGGACAAATGCAGCAGTCACACATATCTTCAATCTTTTCAGTAACGCAGACTATTGGAAGCAGTAATTTGCACTTTGGCTATGAGAGTCTGAAGTGCTTTACAGGAGGTGGCTAAGGAGGGCCCCTGCTACAATCTTCCAGACATGCAGAGGCAAGTACCTTTCTGCAAGATAAAACAGCACGACAATCACAGAACTGCACAGTATAAAAGGAATCCAGTCCAGGGTTCCCAACGTTTCTGTATTGTAGTAAGCAAACACGTTACCAAACTGGATTGCCTCCCTAAGTCAAACTCCACACACCCCCATAAAAAAAGCCTCAGTTTATCTTTAAGATAAAGTTTATCTTTCATGTCCAGCAGTAAGGTGGAACATGCCTATTTGAAATTTTTCTGCTGTTTAGTACAGCAAGCAAGCAAAAAGCAAACTTCTGTCTTTGACAGTTCTTAGCAGAAGGTTTATCGCTACTTTCCAGTCCAGGTGTCATCTCCACAACCCATGTTTTCAGTTCTTCCCACGCAGTTAAATTTTGCTGCCAGGCCATTTCTCATGTTTGTGCACACTTGCTTTTTGCAACCAGAGAAACCCGTACATAGTAGAGTATGTTTATCCTGTGCTCATCTGCATTCAGAAGGCTCAAGCTTATCCTGCAACATTGTCTGCCGCCCTCACTTCCCAACATCAACTCAGTTTTTC